TGTTCCCGAGGGAGGCTGTGTCCCTCACCGGGGGTCAGGGAGCAGTGGACCCTGTTCCCGAGGGCTCCCACACTCTCCCCCAGCATCCCCCACCCCCACCCCCCCGGCGAGGGCTCAGCTGCCCTCGTTCTGTCCCCTTTAACCATTGCAGCCACTGTTGCTGCTTCAGTACAAACAGGGACCTCTTCTCCGGCCTCTCCTTCAGGCTGCAGCTTCTGCACTGTCCCCTCCCACCCCCCACACCCCCACACCATCTCTCCTCAAATCCCCTTCAGAGCCTCTGGCCTCACACTCAGGCTCCCCAAAACTCTGAGGTGTCTCAGAATATCCACAGGCCCCTCTCGCTCCCCCATGTGTGTGTCGTTGTGAGTGAATGAGGCTGTGCGTGTGTTTCACGTTTATATGTGTGTGGGAGAGAATGTGTGTGCTTGTGTGGGAGAGGGTGTGTGTGTGTGTGCGGGAGAGAGTGCGTGAGAGAGAGCGTGAGTGTGTGTGTGAGAGAGAGTGTGTGAGTGTGTGAGAGTGTGTGAGAGAGGGTGTATGAGAGAGTGTGAGAGAGTGAGTGTGTGAGAGGGGGTGTGTGTGTGCAGGAGAGAGTGCGTGAGAGTGTGTGTGAGAGAGTGTGTTTGTGTGAGAGTGAGTGTGAGAGAGAGAGTGCGTGAGAGAGTGCGTGAGAGAGAGTGTGTGTGAGAGTGTGTGAGAGAGATTGTGAGAGAATGTGTGTGTGTGAGGGTGTGTGAGTGTAAGAGTGTGTGAGAGAGTGTGAGAGAGAGTGTGAGGGAGTGACTGTGTGTGTATGAGAGAGTGTGTGTGTGTGTGTGTGTGTGTGAGAGAGAGAGAGAGTGTGTGTGTGTGTGTGTGTGAGAGAGAGAGAGAGACAGTGTGAGTGGCGGGTGAGTGTGTGAGAGAGAATGTGTGTGTGAGAGTGTGTGAGTGTAAGAGTGTGTGAGAGAGAGTGTGAGGGAGTGACTGTGTGTGTATGAGAGAGTGTGTGTGTGTGTGTGTGTGTGTGAGAGAGAGAGAGAGAGTGTGTGTGTGTGTGTGTGTGTGTGTGAGAGAGAGAGAGTGTGAGAGGCGGGTGAGTGTGTGGTATTCCCCTGATATGAGGATGACCCTGCCTCACAGTGAGAACATACAGCTGTACTGTTGGGCGAAATTCAAGCTCGAGTTTGATGAACAGTTAATTTAATGGAAACGTTGGGACTGGAGACTGGGTCATGGACTCTGCAATTGTCACAAAAACTGACATCCCTTTAGAGAGGGAGTTCTGTCACCCTGACCCAGTCAGGCACTGCACATCATTCCAGATTCACAGCCGGTGTGTCTCACTCTGAATTTCCCTCCTTCTCTCCCACATGTCTCCATCCAGCTTCCCGTCCCCCTCAAACACCCCATTCCTATGGGAGTGAGCACCACATTCCTACACACTCCCCCACCTCAGGGGGAGGATTCTCTGAGTGAATAATGTTCCTGAGGTGCTCTCTGATTGGGTGGCTGTGCTATAATAATCTGTTCTGTCCATAGTTCCCATCTGTCTCACTTGCCTATGAGAAAGCAGAGAGTGATATTATGCACATTAAACCGCGAAACCCTCGCAAGGATCGACTGGTGAATGAGCAACTTGCAGCGTATTCCTACTTCCAGATCGGTACGTTAACCTCCTCATCCCAGTGCGGCACTCCCTCAGCACTGACCCTCCGACAGTGCGGCGCTCCCTCAGCGCTGACCCTCCGACAGTGCGGCGCTGCCT